AATATGTTTTCTGTGAGCAATTCCCAGTGTGAATTTGCAGAATATTTAACAGTTCATCTTCAAGAATTGATAAGATAGTGGTTTTTCTGTTTTCTTAGTCTGCAGTCTACTAGGGAATGACAATGAAAAGATTCCAAAACAGTTGGTTTTTATGTTTGAAGAATTCCTTTCCAATTTATTACTACAAGCAGGGAAAAGTCAGGACAACAGAGGTATTTTATGAGAAATTTGTAGGATGTAAGAGCCTGCTAGAGATAATATTTATGTTTTGTCAAACTAGTAATACAAAATTGATGCATATTGTTTTTAAAATACCAGTGCAACAATAAGATATGTTTTTAATTATCTCTTTCTTTCCCATATTTTATATAAACAGCACTCAATTCATCAAAAATCTGTAAACTACTACACTAAAAACAAAGTTTCACTAACCTAAAGAAGATATTTTTATTGTATACTGTATTTTTTGCCGTTTCAGTTGCTACCATTATATTGACAGACAAAAGTTTCATTTGTATTCTCCAACACCTTGTTTTGTCAAATGAGGACATAGTCTCCACCAAAGCACTGCAGCTACTGGCATTACTTGTACTCCAGCAGGCAGATTTTAGTATTCCACATCTTATTGTATGTTTAAGTATCTCATACATGTATAAGTGTTGTTGTTCTCTTCACCATAATGATAAGTATGGCCATTTGATTTGTTGCAGCTATTGGGCAATTAAAATGTGTTTGAAAATTTAATTTGTGTCTGTCTGGGTTCTTATGTGCTTAGAACGTAGCTTCATTGGAACTTTATAAATCAGAAGCAGAAGCATTGCTCTCCATTGAAGGATAAAAGCGGATTGAATTATAATAATAGTACTATGCAATTTTGCAATACTTTGCAAGTGTGTCTTTATAAGTTATATTTTAATTTTCTTTTTTTCAAACATTTTGCAAACTGATTCCATGTCTGCTACAGGTTCTTGTAAGTCAGGATGATTGTCCATTACTCAGAATATATTTTACTCTCACTGAGTCTGAGTACTTAAAGTTTTTTTAGACTGACATTGCTCTACTTTACATTTTAGAAAAATCAGGTTCAACTGCAATTGGCATGGCTTCTAGAAAGAACTAAGTCCAAAGTATATCTCCAGCAGATCAGTGTTCTACAGTTCTGGGCGGTCTATTTCTCCACTCACTTTTCTGGATCGTGTGCTATAGTGGAGATACTGGATGACACAGATCACACAGATCTTGTGGGTCGAGACGATACACAATTAAACATGAAGACCCAGTATTTGAGGAAGTTGCTTATTTACATTCAGCAGGCTGTTTTTAAGGTAAATGTTAACATTTAATGCCACAGGTATAGATAACATTTCAGGCTGCTGCATTTCTTTGCATACATATTTTTTTTAATCTAAGGCTTTTTGTTTTAGCCTTCAATGAGACTGGATTTGCATTTTGCTTTAAATTTCCAAAACAAGTGGAAAATGGCCAATAGTTTTTTGTTTTTCTAGTAAGTAAATTCAGTTTTGCAAAAAATGAAATTAGACATTTGATTTTATCTTTGGTCCTTGATAGTATATTGATTCCTTCAAATTTATTTCAGGAAAATAGGCATTTGCAGTGCGTTGCTGTTATTTGTCTTCACAACTTGCTGACACGATACTTAAAACCACAGGTATTAAAAACAGGTAATATTTTCAGCTAATTCTATTTTAACAGCCCTGGATCGCAGTATCCAATTGCAAGCCTACATTTTTTTTAACATGTCAGTTATCTCTTTTCTGTAAGTGGTTTTTGTCTTTCCTAGCTTTCTTTTATAATAAACAATATGAGCAACATAACATCTTTGATTTTTTTACATTTTCAAAAATTGTTGAAATGTTTTCTCATGCAGGCCACAGTCTGGTAGAACAGTCATGGAATAGATTCATGCTGACCACACTGCTAGAAACCTTTGAAGCAAGAAAGACTCCAACCTGTGTGTTAGCAATTGTTAACTTGGTGAGTATATTAGATATTTAAAAGTTGTCAGTTCGGTTAGTCAAGCATATCTTTGTAAATTTTCTTTGGGGAAAAAAAGAAAGAAAACACTGTGATTTTAATATATAAAGTAACCTAGTTACATGTGTACACAGTATATACATCTACATACACAAATAGGTTTTCTCTATTTCCATTTGTCAGGCATAAGATTACTTTTAATTTTCATATTTGTGCAATTTTATTGAATTTGTTGTTCAATTCTATAAGTGTCTATAAGGGCTCATTCAGAACAAGTTGATCTGTGGACTAACTGATCTGCGGATCAAAAATGGCGCCACCCTCTTGAAAGCGTGCCAAGATTTAATTGCTTTACCCCTGCTGGGAATGTGCGTGTTGGAGGCGAGAATCCATTGTCAAGTGTGCGCCGTATTTGATGTGAGGACTCGTTAGTCCACGGATCAATTAAGATGTGAATGCTCTCTAATTTGCAGCTGGTCAGCCATGTTGGTGGAGAGTTAGTCAAAGTAAAACAGCTTGAAAACATAGTGACAGCATTTTTGAAAGGAGACTTGAAACAGGACAGTTGGTGGAATGATGTTGTCATTTTTCTTCACTATGTAAGTATTGTTTCTGTTTACGCTTAAAGAAATTTCTTATAAGTCATGTAATAAGCCCAGGCCACCAGTGCAATGGAGTTCCATGCTGATATCACCCACCTCACCACAGCCATTTTGGGAATGAAATATGATGATGTATTTAATTTGTCATATTACTCAATGGAATTTTTTCCTATAAAAATACTTTTAACTTCAAAGTTCAAGTGAATCATTGATCTGTTTGCTAAGAGATCAAATATTCAGTCTAGATTTTTTAAATAAACTACATGCACACTTATCAAGCATTTGCTGACTATGTATACCTTAGACTTCAGTCAGTGATGTGCTTGAATAGTAGCATATTATATTCAAACTTGTATAATATATATTTTTCAGTCACATGTATCTGTTGTTTATTATTTGTTTTATTTTAGGTGTGCCATAATCATATATTAGATTCTAACCTTGAGAAGAAAGTTATCAACAAGCTTGAAGAGAATCACCCATATACTGACCAATGTAGACAAAGTGATGATACCAAGGAAATATCAAAGATGTATGCAATGTTTGACAGATCTATAAATGCCTAAATGATTTCTTATTTTGTCTGATCTGGAGGAGGGACTGGGGCCAGTCACTTTTTAAGGGGATATATGATTTTATG